TTAAGCTGGGGAGTGCCTAAATGCTGTTTTATTGATGATCTTGAAATGTACGAAACAGTGGCGGTTAGCTCTAGTTCTACAGCATCCATTATTACAGAAGAGAAAGTTCTAGGAAGTGATGAAATGAGTTCTGAACAGAACTTCTTAATTATATAGGTAAGATTTTTTCCATCATGTAATATTATGTTTAGTTTATATTTTGAAGAGGAAGAAAAACTTTTTAAAGACAACAAAATCATTAGGCTAGTTGTTGTTTTCTGCAGACTTGACGCTTCACAGGCGCTTGTTTCGTATAGAGACGTCGGTTTCATACCTGGACGTGGAAGTCCATGTAAATACACATGGAGCCTATATAGTATATATGCCTTTTTAAACATGAACATACTATATATTTTCAGTAACTTCTAGTGCCCATGGTTTCACAGTATATTACAGCTGCATTACACACTTTTATGTCGGCAGGCGGTAAAACTAGTTTTGCAGACTCCCGACTCTCTCTGAATAATGTATTTCGTTAACAGATTCGGTTCAACAAAATATCAATACTGCATTAAAAATCTTTAAAAGAGAGAAAGAGAGAGAGAGTTTAACGGCATGAAGAAATGCACATATAAAAGATTAGTCGTCTATAAATTAAATTGTCAAAGTGTTTAAACTAAGAGATTTATAGTGGAACAATTAAACTAAAAGAAGAAGATGAAAAAAAAAATACAACCCATTTAAGGATAACATAAGCTTTCAAAGCAATGTTTTAATGGACTTATATTGTGAACTTTTATAACTTTGCCCTTGCTATTACAATATTTTAACATTCCAAAATGAACATCATAATACTTACAGTACAGGCATCGCAGATCCCGTATTTCCTGCGCCCCGTCGCGGTATAAACACAACGCGGGATTTGGCCAGGCGAGACAGGTAAACCACGTTCCCTCCGCAGGAAATTCATCACTTACCTGTCCCCACCGCGGTTAAATCATCGATCAACTAGTATCGTAAACAAATGGGAGTTATCTCCCCGAATGAGAATTTGCGAAATTTCCCTGTAGTAACAAAAAATAACCAGTGTATGTTTATTTATTAATATAAAGTATTTTCTTTTATTTCGCAACGATGAATAGAAAATAATAAACATACTCCAAAAAAGAATTTGTAAAGCAGAAGATATAAACTTTTTTTGATTTGTTTTTAAAACTATATACATGTATCAATACTAAGGCATCTTTTGTTTAAATAGAATCAAGAAAAATATTTATAAGCTGTGTTATTTGAGAGTTTAGCATCAAACAAAATTAAATATTGAAATTATTAGTACTAAAACGTCTTTTCAGATTATATGCGAACTGCAATAATGATGTGCACATGCTAAACAATAGTCAGTGCAAGTTCCGATTAACAATTTTAAACATTCCTATGAAAAAAGGTACATCTTTATATTGTTTATGTTTTTGTATTTTTACCAAATTTAGAACACTATAATTCATTTAATTAATTTCACTTTTTTGAATAAATGTGCAAGCATTTTTCTGAAAGTGTCAAATTACTGGAAAGCCGTAATATTCGAAGCCGAGAGTATACAGTTAGTGGGCACGTGAACGGTTTACAAGCTATCAATAAAAAATATAATCTTTTCTTCACCTTGATTTTTATTTCTTTGGTAAACGATGGTCTTTTTTTATTTAAATATTTCTCCATTTACAAGTTCAATAAAATAACATAGGGTGTACATGCATGGTGATGAACTCCACAGAACAAATAAAATGAAGGGGGATATTACACTTACAACACTTTTATTTTCAATAATATTCAAGGTAAAAATCAAATGCTAACGTTAACTTTAACAAATTTTGTTTCTTTGAGTATTAAGTATTAACCGCGATCATTTCCTGTGTATAGGGATTAGCAGACCCAGAGCAGGAAACGACATGCCCTGGGGGTTTCACACATGCGATTGCCCTAGAGTACCTGGGGTAAATCTCTCTGAATGTGCACATCGTTGTCTAGCCATACGACACAAATTAATTAATATAGTTTGAATAAAATAAAATAAACCAAATTACGTTTTATAAGTATATGTATTTTGTTTACGTCCCTGTTTATACATTTACCTGTATATCTAAGTAGAATTTCAAGAGAGAGAGAAAGAGAGAGAGAAACATACAGAATGTTACGGCACGTGCATGGTTTTTCTTGAAATCAGTTTATTGATTTATCGAGCCCATCGAATAAAACAAAATATTCATATTATAATTGTAAATGAAATTGCTTGTGAATCAAATTTTGCTCAGTTTCAAAGTAGTCGTTTCTTTGAACAGATAGAATTTACTGTACATGCTGTAGCTGGTTTATCACTTTATTGGTCAGTTAATTTTTTAAGGACTTTGCCTAATTCTGCCAATTTATGAAGTTATAGCCACAGAAACTAATTTTACTAAACTAACCATTCCGATTTGACGATACATGTACGTGAATTTTGTTGATGGGCATGATTATTATATCGATTTCAAAAAGAAAGGAAATAGAAATACAGTCAAATCTAGATATGAAATTATACTGAATAGAATGTAATGATTTTATTTACAACAATAACCAAAAAAAAAAAAAAAAAAAAGATCATGTTGATATTTCTTCTATAGTCTTACATCTTTAGCGCATAATATTTGTGAGAAGTTAATCCTAAATGTACACGTGTTTATTCTTTAATACTATACTGTTACCATCTCCATCTAGTAGCATCGTGTTTCATGCTTATATTTAAAATAGATATGTATACAGAGACATAATGATAGAATCTCCCAGACAAATAAACGCATAACTACATGTAATCGAGAACACAACTGCACTGGCTAATGGTGAACACTGTATTTAATGCATTTTAAAGAAACGATATGGCATTTTTAAAAAATCTAATGCTACTATTACAAGGTGGATTATTTAGCAATTTATGGTGGAATTATCGATTTTAATAAATATATACGATAATTCAGTTGACGATATTTCACATCCAATTTTACCACACACACTGGCATTATAAGCTCCCTTTTTAAATTTGAGAATTATTTAATTTTTAGTGACTATTAAAAAAAAGATAAATAAAAAAATATTATTATACAATTTGATAATACTTAAAAATTGAATTAAAAATTCATTTAATTAATGTAGGCCGTGATCTTTAATGGCTTACCCCCCCTTTTTTTCGACGCTATAAAAAATCGACAACACTTTCCAGGTAACAACATCTAAGCTCAAGAATAACGGTAGCTGGCCCCGCCGCGGTGTACACACGGTCGCAGGTAGTACCGCGATCAAAACCTACGACGGTGTAAGGCGGAAAGGATTAACATACCGCGGAGGGGACGCGGTCTAGTACAGGATCCGCGTTGTCTGTACTGTAGACTCTTCAAAATTATCGATCTCAGCTTTTACCAACACATGTTGAGTAATCTTGAAGAATGTCAGACACCTCAGCCCAACGGCACCTTGGCCCATTGACATCTCTGCCCAATGACACCTCGGCCTTGACTGGTCGGCCCAAAATTTAAGACACCTCGGCCCATACATAAGTCATCTCGGCCCAAGCAAACTTTTATTAGGAAGTATTATATATTTCCAATCTGCAACTTCAATAAAATTTTGACCGAAAAAAGTAAACGATCAAGGTTATTTTTAGTAATAAAAAGACCTTCCACAAGCTGCATGATTGACGATAATCAAGGAATAAAAAGACAATTATAATTTAAAAGTGCTAACCGATAAACAAATAAGATGCCGCGGTACATTCTTTGGAGTCTCCAGTGCTTGTCATATTGGCAACAATGGGGGAATAATTACGAGCAGGGTTAATTGTGAGACAGTCATTCAGAACATTTACATCCATTTATTTCTGAAGAATTCCACTTGCATCAAAACCCAGATTTTTTTAAATTTTATTTTTAGCTATCTGTATCAAACATTGAATATGATGAAACATACGATGAAGTTCAGATCAATAATGCAATTATTTTACGTACTTAAACCATTTTTTATACGATTATTTATACTGACATAAGTATAAACAATAATATCAGATGTTTCAGATCGTCAGAGAAATAATGCAAAGTGTTAAGATAGAATATTGATATATATTATAGTTTCACTTAAGTGTATATATTGGGGATTTTTCACAAGAGATAGATGTTAGTTAAGGACGTGCTGATCTGATTTGCTTAGGGAAGTTCACCAATTTTCTATTATAGACCCCCCCTTTGACTTTTTTTTAAAATCGTTTGTCCGTCAGAAAGAATAATTACATCGATAATAATAACAATTTAGACACTGGATTAATTTTTTCTATCATAAAATTTCGCTTGGGCCGAGCTGTCTTTTATATGGGCCGACGTGTCAATAATCTTGGGCCGACCTGTCAGGGCCAAGGTGTCAGACGTCACAGGCCGAGGTGTCGTTGGGCTGAGATGTCTGTCTACCATCTTGAATGAAAAATCTTTGAGCACCTTTAACTTGTAATCATGATCATTTTTAAAATTAATTTTAAATTTTTTCCTCTCTTGTCTCGACACTACATCACTTGTGATGCAGACATTACAAATCTTAAAGGGGTTGCTAATCTAATTTCAAAAAGAAAACATTATGGAAAGTGCTTTCTGTAATATAAATTATCTCTAATATTGAAATGTAAACACAACACTTCTGCCGTATTGCCGGATATTAATTCTCACCTGCCAGATAAAGAAATACATTGTATAGCTGGCAGTCACATTCATGTTTAACTTTAAACCAATGAAAGTGTGACATTTCAATCCAAGGGAAAATAAATTGTAATAGCAAGGCACTGAAGTTTGTGATATATATATCCAATATATACATTTTATTATCTGCAGTTACACCTTTTATCATTCTTGGTTGAGAAAGCAGCATAATTATGGTTCATAAGTCATTTTAATAAATGCAAAAGTTACTGTTCTTTGTTTGGCTAAGAGTCTACAGCCAAGTTGTTTTGAAAGGTCTGGTAGATGGTGAAACTGTATTCTTCTCCAATATCAGAAGATAAAAACTGTCCTCCAAAAAATGGAGGCCACCTAGACCTGTTAAGCCTATTGATACTTTTTCGAAACATTTATGTTTTGTATTATAATCCCCTGTTTGTTGTTATGCTTTAGTGACATCACAACAAGCGCAAGGACAATATGGCCCAGTACAAAGTTCCAGATCCTGACAAAGATGAAGTTTGTCCTTATGACAAATCACATGTCTTTCCAGCCAAAAGGATGCAGTATCATCTCATGAAGTGCAGAAAGGTCAGTTTACACGCTTCAGTAATAGCACTACAGAAACCTCTTTCTGGATTCTGTCATACTCCAGTAAACTCTCATACTCAAGAAAATAAAATTATAACATTGAACATTTTTTTTTAAATGAAATATATGGACAAACACACATCTATATATTTCAAAGTACATGTAATTATACCCCCCCCCCCCCCATTAAAAAAAAACTGAAAATGGCTTGCTGTATTGTCTAACAACAAACCAGAGTCAGTTAAGATGAGATTCTGTCCTGACTCTCCTTGACTGACCAATAGGAAGTACTTTTACACTTTTGAATATACTCTCTTGCAGAACCACAAAGGAAGTGTATTTGCCACCTGTCCTTTCAATGCAAGACACGAGATGCCTAAACCAGAGCTGCGCTTCCATCTAGAAAATTGTCCAGACAAGGCAGTGATTGAACCGATGCTAGCTCATGGTAAAACAACTATGTAATGTCATATATAAAAATATATTTGTTAAAAGAAATTCAAAAGGAATTGTCAGGAAGGTCTTGTGTTAGTTAGTCAGTTAGTTTTCAAACACAGGGACATATGTGAACATTCTCCACATGTGAAGATGGAATAAAGATATTTTACTTGCATATTTATAAGTTTATAATTTTCTTTGGCATAACCAAATATGGTTCTTGAGGCCTGATAGAGAGGCACACAAAAAGTAGGTCACAATGACCTACTCTCTGTAATGTACAGTTTATCATTTAAAAAAAAAAAATACCGAGATATTTCAGATGCTAAGAATCATCAGACCTTTTCAGTTGGTACATCTTAGTGCCTTAAAGCACAGCTATTTGCATATTCAGAAGTAGGTTATAGTGACACTGTTATGCAACTGATTCTAGGTCCTTGGGCCTCTTATTTTTATTTAAATTGCACTTTGACATTACTGTTGTGTTTGAAAACTAACTGAACATAAAATTGTCATTTGCAAATAAATGTCCCTAAAGAAAATGTTGAACATTGTCCATTGTTTTGACAGAGAGTAGTAAGAGGAATGGAGAAGATGCGTCCATGTTTAGAGGATGTACAGATCTACCTGTGTATGATAATGTTGTAATTAACAGCGAGGAAAACTGGGATGATGGTAAATCTATACATCTACCTCCAGCAAAAATTTCTGTTTCAAAAAAAAAACTTGAAATAAAAAGCAGTCGTTAGTACTTCGAAATTATGGCCCTAATAGCTGTCAGTCCAGTTTGTTTTGAGTTGACATTGGATACGGTACATTCAATTTGTAAAAGCAAATTGTCATGTAATTTAAACTCTTGTCTCATATGCTAGAAGTTCACAGTTGCAAATTGCAATAGGGGTCCAAAGTTTTAAAAGAATATACTGAAAAAAGACAAGGCTTATGATAAATTAAATTTTTATATTGATATCTTTTCTTTTAGATATAAGATGTTTAAAATGTTCTCTTTGGTCTAATGTTAGGTATCTTCAATTTAAAAGATGATGAGATTTATAATTTCTTGAGATACTGCAGCATAGTTGTTTTTACAATTATTATGCACAATAAATTGTGTTTTACAGAGATTCCCTCTGTGGCCAGGATTGGGGTGGACCCCCAGTTCTTTGCTCGTCAAGACCATATGATTATCCCAGGGTAATATATTCTTTACTTAAAAATATAAATTTGTATTTGTGTATGTAGAGGTATGTTTATTTATTGTTGTTTATGGATATTTTAGACTGACAAAATCAGAGAAGAAAGAGTTTGCAAAACAAATGTACCTTCCTGCAGAAGATAGAAGGTGTATGGCATTAATTGTTAATGGAAAACAATTGTCCTCAATTACTGTCTCACAAAATTTAGAAATGGCATCATCAATGTTCATCAAAATATAATTGATATTATGTGATTTCAGACATTTACTTACAGAAATTAATGATGTGAATTTTGTTTTTGTCTTAAGCTTTCTTATGACATTTGTTCTTTATAGAATTAAAAGGGTTCCTATACATATTCAGTTCTTGTTACTTTGAATTTGAATCACTCAGACAACCATTTCAAATTGCAGTTGATATGATTTTAAAACAAGAAGCTTTTTGCAATAAATCAATCTCAAGAAATATATAAAATAATGTAGCATTTCAGTAAACCTCAGCTTTTTTTTCAGTTTCTAAAACACATACATGTAAATTAGTACCCTTTGTCTTTGAGATTATTACCCTTTGTCTTTGAATATCATGGAGTAAATAAAAATGACCAGTATAAAATATTGTTATAAATTTAATTAGGGTATTTCACTTTATAACAGGTACTTGTCACACAACATAGAAACAGAACAGCCATTAAAGGATGAGCAGTCGAAGCTGCGTCTCCCTAAAACGGCAGCCCAGACTTATCTATCCAATCAGAATAAGTCGTTTCAGCAGCCATCAGCAGTGTTTGCATATTCTTTATCTATGACAGGTGTAGGTAGAGGACTACCAGGTAACAGACTGAGATGGTTCATATAAATTAGCAAAAAAACATTTCAGGGTCAGAGAGTTGTAAATGTCAGCGTAATTAAGTTGTATGTTTTACATTCATTTCTTTACAGATAATGGTACGAGTAGAGAAGAGAATAAAAGGCCAGGTCGAAGCAGGGGGAGGGGCCATGGCTCCATCAAAGCAGTAGGCAGGGGAACCACTATTGCTGAAACAAATAGAAATATGCCTCTAGGAAAGGGGTTTAACCACAATAATAGTGGTCCATTTTCGACTGTCCAGAAAGGAACCCCAGCAGCTGTAGGTCTTGAGGGCCTGAAGACCACCCCTGAGTTTAGTGTGGGAGTTGGTCGAGGAAACAGAGCATCTTATGGTTAGTATGTTCTGTACGACCAAATAAACTGATTATTCATATCATGAATGTGTTGCTTGAAAAGTATATGATGTTGTTGCATTTCAATTGTTTCATGTATTGCAATTTGAGTTCATGATATACATGTTAGTTTTTATAAAATTTTAAATTACAGTAAAATCAAATATTTTCAAGAGATCCACTTTTCAAGGTTTGAGGAAAAAATGTCTGTCTGTGGGGATTTGATTTCATGGTTGACAAATTGTTGAGTTGTTAAACATTTGAAATTTTGCATTTCGTGGAGGACATGAATTCATGGGTTACATCATACCTTTAAAACAACAAAAATTCAAACCCGATGAAAATTAGTGATTTCACAGTATATACAAGCAAATATTTTGAATTTAAAACAAGATTTCATTTCTCCTGAATTATTTTGGAAACATCAGAGAAGAGGAAGTTAATACTGAACTCTTGATTATTTCAGGAATGTCATCCCCATTCTCCTCTGTGATTGCTGCAATGCCTCAACAAAACAAAAATGGTAAGACATTGTACATCTACTTATTTTTAAGACGACATTTTAATGAGTGTGGATTGCTGAAGCAAACAGTAAGTACATGTAGTGAAATAGTTATCTAAATCAGTGTGCCTTTTAAAACTACAGCAGAAAAAGACTTGGAATCAGATTACAGTGTGAAGGATGGGGACAAAAAGCTGAGGAGGATCGAGAAGAAGTTGAGACAGATTCAGCTGCTGGAAGATAAGATGGAGGAGGGGTACACTCTGACAAAGGAGGAGGTATCAAAAGTGCTGGCTCCTTAATAGTGGCAGATAGTTTTTCTGAATTACTCAGCCTCTTAATAGCCAAGTCAATTTTTATCACCATTCAAGTTTTCGATGCTATAGGATCTGTCATGAATTTTATCTTTCACGTATCCTGGCATCCATTGTCCTCTGTGTTGGAATCGCACCTTATGTCCTTGTTTCAAATATGGAAGATCTTTCTGTCCACTGTTAAAATAGTTCTTTTGTTGATTCTGTGAGTTTCTTCTCTTTTCATAAGTTTTTTCTGCTGGAATAACTTTAGGTCTGAGCTGTTCTTTGGTGATAGGTAGAATAGATCTAAGTTTTCTACTCATCAGTAGTTGCGCTGGAGAGTCAACATCTGTTGGAGTATTGCAATATTCCAATAGACTGATGTATGGATCCTTTCCATCAACTCTGGCTTTTTCCAACATACGTTTTACTGTCTGGACAGTTTTTCAGTCCATTTCCTTGTGGATTGTATGGACTTGAAGTAGTATGTTTGATTGACCATTTCTTGGCAAAATCCTTGAAATCTCTGGATATGTACTGCGGTCCATTATCACTCCTCACTTCAAATGGGATACCATGGCGAGCAATTGCTGACTTCTTGTGCATGATGATAGTTTTGCTTCTGGTGTTTTCAAGTTTGGCTTTTTCGAAGAATTTGGTGTAATAATCTACAATCACCAAATAATCTTCATTGTTCAGTGTAAATAAATCAGATCCTACTAGTTGCCATGGACCATTTGGGATAGGTGTTGGTCGCAATGGTTCCTTTGGATTCTTTTTCCTAAAGTCCATGCAGGTGTTACATTTGGATATCATCTCTGCAATGTCTGTATTCATTCCAATCTAATGAACTACAGTTCTTGCACGAGCCTTCGTTTTCTCAATGCCGAAATGTCCTACATGTACCGGTAAGTATCTAAGAATTTCTGGTTGTAGAACTTCTGTTACATTTTTTCCCAAATGCTGGGCATTTTCCTTTTTTCATGATGGCTTCCACATTTTCCAAATGTAAAGGATTTTGTGTTGGTAGGTTTATTTGGCACACTTTGTTTTCTAGGTTGATACACATTTCCCTTCATATATTTCTTGGGTGAGGGTTTGTTTCCTGTAGACACTTTAACAGACTGTTTAGATTTTACAGCATCAACACGCTCCTCATGTTGTAGATCTTTTAATCTATTTTGTGACTCTTCATTAGCACAACACATACTTAAAGCTTTTTGATGTGAGTTCATTGTCTCTAAGTAATCTTTCTTTAACTTTCTCTGAATAAACTCCACATACAATTCTGTCTCTTAGCATTTAATCTTCTAATACACCAAATTTGCAGTTTTTTGAAATTATTTTCAAATCTGTGACATACTAGTCAATGGTTTCTATTTTATCTTGAACTCTGGTGTGAAACCTATGTCTCCAAACTGTGATATGTTCCCTAGGGGCACAATATAGTCTTTGAACTTACTGAACAGTGTATCAATTTTGTCAACATCTTCATCTGGTATTATCATTGTGTTGAATATTTCTCTGCCTTCTTGACCAATAATATACAGGAAAGCACTACACTTATCTTTTTCGTTTCTGTCATTCATACATATAAACTATACACTACATATTCAGTGCACCAATGATGTACAATATTTAGTTCACATACTAGTTGCACTGTAATTTAGAACACATACACTGTGCATAACAAGTACACTTACACTGTGCATAATGAGTACACATACACTGTACAGTATTCAGTATACTTACACTGAAAAACATTTTATACTTTATTGTCCTAGTTATGATCAGTATAGATTACAATATTGCGATATATTTAATGCTCAGTGTTACATGAAGGAAAACCCTATTATTGACATATCAACCCTCCAAGTATTAAAATTGCCAGAAGAGTATGTAACTTTCTGAAAAAGTGCTTTTATATTAGAAAAGAAAAACTTCAACATAACTGATATGCTTACTGGAATAATTTTTTATTGATTTTATGTATGTTATTCTTTGTTGTATTCATGACTGTATGCCAATGTATGATGGTGTTGTCAATAAATAAATTGAAATTGAATTAAGTAAATAATGAGTACACTTACACTGTACATAATGAGTACACATACACTGTACATTATTCAGTACACATACACTGTACAGTTTCAGTACACATACACTGTACAGTATTCAGTATACTTACACTGTACATAATGAATACACATACACTGTACATAATGAGTACACTTACACTGTACATAATGAGTACACATACACTGTACATAATGAGTACACATACACTGTACATTATTCTGTACATATTATGGCTGGGACGATATATCGAGATATCGATAATATCGATTCAATGTGAGGATGATACGCATATCGATACGTATAAAGAAATATCAAAATATCGCCTAAAAAATTCTGACATATGTTTTTCTTTGTTTACTTAAGATTTTGGGTTTAATATATAAAATAAATATGCTTAATATAAATATAAATATGAAATTCATAATAATTAACACCACTTGTGTAAAATAATTAAGTTTTACAAAAGATATACAACTTCTTTGCATAAATTATTCTTATTTGTGAAGAAATGTTTTGTTCATTTCAATATAAAAAAAGAATTTATAATCAATTAAACATATCGTGATACATATCGTATCGTGGCTCAAATATCGGGATACGTATCGATATAGAAAAAGTTGTATCGTCCCAGCCCTAGTACATATACACTGTACAGTTTTCAGTACACATACACTGTACAGTATTCAATATACTCACACTGTACATAATGAATACACATACACTGTACATAATGGGTACACATACACTGTACGTAATGAGTACACATACACTGTACATAATGAGTACACATACACTGTACATTATTCAGTACATATACACTGTACAGTTTTCAGTACACATACACTGTACAGTATTCAATATACTCACACTGTACATAAAGAGTACACATACACTGTACATTATTCAGTATACTTACACTGTACATAATGAGTACACATACACTGTACGTAATGGGTACACATACACTGTACGTAATGAGTACACATACACTGTATAGTACATGTATTTAGAACATACAAATGTACAGAGTACAGTTCCATATAGGAGACCTACATTTGGTACAGTATGCAGTACACATATTATACACTCTAAGGGTTTCGTTCTTCATAAAACTTTCTTATTTTTTAGGCTGCAAAAGTTGGCATGAAGAGAAGTTTGACAGCTGAAAGAGATCAGTTACAACAAGAGAATGAATCAAGAAAAATTTAGAGATTTTTGCAAGTTGATCAAATTTTTTCCAACTATAGTGTCAGAGATTTTTTCTTTTTTTGAGTTTTGTATATAGTTTTCTTCATAATTAACGTGTAAATAGTATTTCATACATTGACATTAAGCACATATGTTTGAATATGTGTGAATATCCTCTTTATTTAAAAAAATTGAAACCAAGATGCTTTTGAAATATTCTTTTAAGGTATAGATCTAACTTTAGTTAGTTGGTGCTAAGACAGGTTAGAAATGGTGAGGTGATGTGGATGTTTAGAATAAACACATATTCAGATGATTTTTAGCTCACCTGAGCCGAAGGCTCAAGTGAGCTTTTCTGATTGAAATTTGTCTGTCGTCGTTGCCGTTGGCGTTGTCGTAAACTTTTCACATTTTTAGCTCACCTGAGCTGAAAGCTCAAGTGAGCTTTTCTGATCACATTTTGTCCGTAGTCCGTCTGTCCATCTGTCCGTCCGTCCGTCCATCTGTAAACTTTTCACATTTTCGACTTCTTCTCCAGAACCACTGGGCCATTTTCAACCAAACTTGCCACAAAGCATCCTTGGAAGAAGGGGGTTCAAGTTTGTTCAAATGAAGGGCCATGCCCTCTTCCAAGGGGAGATAATTAAGAATAAGTGAAAATTTGGTGTCTTTTTTTAAAAATCTTCTTCTCAAGAACCATTGGGCCAGAGAAGTTGAAACTTATGGGAAACCTTCATTACATAGTGTAGATTCAAGTTTGTTCAAATCATGACCCCCGGGGGTCGGGTGGGGCCACAATGGGGGATCAAAGTTTTACATAGGAATATATAGGAAAATTCTTTAAAAATCTTCTTCTCAAGAACAACAAAGCCACAATTAGTCATATTGATATGAAATCATCCTCAGGTAGTGTAGATTTAAATTTGTTCAAATCATGACCCCCGGGGGTAGGGTGGGGCCACAATGGGGGATCAAAGTTTTACATAGGAATACATAGGAAAATTCTTTAAAAATCTTCTTCTCAAGAACAGCAAAGCCATGATTTGTCATATTGATATGAAATCATCCTCAGGTAGTGTAGATTTAAGTTTGTTCAAATCATGACCCCCGGGGGTCGGGTGGGGCCACAATGGGGGATCAAAGTTTTACATAGGAATACATAGGAAAATTCTTTAAAAATCTTCTTCTCAAGAACAACAAAGCCACAATTAGTCATATTGATATGAAATCATCCTCAGGTAATGTAGATTCAAGTTTGTTCAAATCATGACCCCCGGGGGTAGGGTGGGGCCACAATGGGAGATCAAAGTTTTACATAGGAATACATAGGAAAATTCTTTAAAAATCTTTTTCTCAAGAACAACAAAGCCACAATTAGTCATATTGATATGGAATCATCCTCAGGTAATGTAGATTCAAGTTTGTTCAAATCATGACCCCTGGGGGTAGGGTGGAGCCACAATGGGGGATCAAAGTTTTACATAAGAATATATAGGAAAATTCTTTAAAAATTTTCTTCTCAAGAACAACAAAGCCACAATTAGTCATATTGATATGGAATCATCCTTAGGTAGTGTAGATTCAAATTTGTCGAAATCAAGACCCCCGGGGGTAGGGTGGGTCCACAATGGGGGATCAAAGTTTTACATAGGAATAAATAGGAAAAATCTTTTAAAATCTTTTCAAGAACAGGAAAGCCGTGATTAGTCATTTTGATATTGAAGCATCCCCAAGTATTGTAGATTCAAGTTTGTTCAAGGCATCCTCCAGTAGTAGGGTGGGGCCATAATCGGGGATCAAAGTTTAACAAAAGAATATATATAAGAAATATCTTAAAAAATCTTCTTCTCAAGAACAACAAAGCCATAATTAGTCATATTGATATGGAAGCATCCTTAGGTAGTGTATATTCAAGTTTGTTCAAATCTTGAACCCCCCCTCCCTTCCTTCCCCCCAGGGTAGGATGGCAGACATCTTTAAAATTCCGTTTCAAGAACAGCAAAACCATGATTAGTTATATGAATATAGAAGCATCCTCAGAAAGTTTAGATTCAATTTCATTCAAAACATGGCAAATGGGGATAGATTATGCCTAGAACAGTTGATCAAAGCTTTACGTATGAATATATAGAAGAAGAAATCTGCTGACAAAGAACAGCAGGGCCATATTGACTCAGGTGAGCATTGTGGCCCATGGGCCTCTTGTCATCTTCTTCTCAAGAACTACTGGGCCAATTTCAATCAAACTTGGCACAAAGTATCCTTGGGTAAAGGGGATTCAAGTTTGTTCAAATGAAGGGCCACGCCCCCCTCCAAGGGGAGATAATTACGAAATATCAAAAAATAAATGGCATTATTGAAAAATCTTCTTCTCAAGAACCAATGGGCCAGGAAAG